GTCCGCCTGAAACCCAGGCAGGGGCTGGACTGGGTTGCGAGTATCCACAGCAGTGGCAGCGCCTACTATGCGCCATCGGTGCAGGGTCGGTTCAGGATCTCCAGGGACAATGGGCAGAGCTCGGTGATGCTGACCATGAAAAACCTCAAGGACGAGGATTCGGGATCCTACTTCTGTGGCAGAAGTGTTGTTGGTAGTGCTGGTTGGAATGCTGCTGCAGGCATTGGTCACTCTCATATTTAGGTTGCATTTGGCTGTGTTCCTGTTCCCCGGTCCGCTCTCTGCACATTACCACAAAGTGGACTAAAATCTTAACCCTTGGCTTGAAGTATCCACTTTTATAACAAGGTTTTGGGGCATAAAGTGGAGATTTGGGGTCGGGAGTTGTGGTTTGGGGTCAGCGGGTGAGAATTAGGGCCGAGGCAGAGCAAGGTTGGGATCGATGGTCAAGGGCTGGGTGGGGGCTGGGGGTTTGGGGGAAGGGTCTGTGGAACGGGGATGGGGGGGGACACGGGGATGGGGACACAACCATCATCATCACCCCTATTAGCAACAGCACTACCAGCACCAGTATCAGCAGATTTTCCGCAAAAATAGACGGCAGAATCCTCGTCCTTGAGGTTGTTCATGGTCAGCATCACCGAGCTCTGCCCGTTGTCCCTGGTGATCCTGACGCGATCCTTGAAGGATGGACTGTAGTAGCTGCTGCCACTGCTGGTGATCCCTGCGAGCCACTCCAGCCCCTGCCCAAGTCTCTGGCGAAACCAACTGAATCCAAAACTGCTGAAACTGAACCCGGACCCTCGGCAGAGGAGGCACAGGGAACCCCCAGGGGGCTGGAGGTCCCCCCCGCACTCCAGCAGGGTCACGGCCGCCCGGAGCCCTGCGGGACAAAGGGGAGATGGGGATGAGGCCAAAGCTCAAGCCTTGACCCAAGTCCTGACTCTGGGCCCGAAACTGGGACCCTTGGAGTTCATCATCCTCCTCCTTCTTCTCCTGCTGGACCTCCCAGGTTGGTCCCACCCACGTCTGGATCTCAACATGTGAACCTTGAGCCACAGCCAATCAGGTTTCTCATCCCCATCTCCCCTTTGTCCTGCAGGGCTCCAGGCGGCCGTGACCCTGCTGAAGTGTGGGGGGGACCTCCAGCCCCCAAGGGGGTTCCCTGACATTCCTGTGCAGAGGGTCTGGGTTCGATTTCGGGAAGTTTGCCATGAACTGGATGCGCCAGAGACTCAGGCAGGGGCTGGAATCCATTGCGGCGATCTGGGACAATGCTGGTCGGACCAGGTACGCGGATTCAGTCAAGGGCCGGTTCACGATCTCTAGGGACAACGGGCAGAGCTCGGTGACGCTGACCATGAACAACCTCAAGGACGAGGATTCCGGATCCTATTTCTGCTAGAAATCTGGTTTAACTAGTGGAGGTGGGGTGGTGCTCAAGCTGTTGATGTTTTTTGCCCTTTACCTGTCCCCATGTCCCCAACCTTGTCCCCGTTCCCCAGATCCTCCCTCCAATTCCCAAGCCCTGACCCCATTCCTATCCCCGTGTCCCAGCTCTGAACTGGTTCTGCACCAAACCTCAGCCAAGGTCCCCAAACCTGGGTGCAAATGGATGAGATTTGGGGAAAATGGGCCAGACTTGGGTCCGGGGGGGGTCAAAAATGGGGTCAAGGGTTGGAGGGAAGGACCTCAACAATGGGGACAGGTGGGGGCACAGGGATGGGCACGGGTCAATAGATTCAAGGGCACCAGCAGCAATGTTAGTGCTGGACTCCTTGGCGCAGAAATAGGATCCGGAATCCTCGTCCTTGAGGTTGTTCATGGTCAGGGACATGGAGCTCTGCCCGATGTCCCTGGAGATCGCGACCCAGCCCCGCAGTGACGGCGCGTAGTAGGTGCCACCGTGGCTGTCTATGGCGGCCACCCACTGCAGCCCCTGCCCGGGGCTCTGGCGGATCCAGTGCAGATCATAACGACCGAAACTGAACCCGGAGCCTCGGCAGAGGAGGCGCAAGGAACCCCCGGGGGGCTGGAGGTCCCCCCCACACTCCAGCAGGGTCACGGCCGCCCGGAGCCCTGTGGGAAAAAGGGGAGATGGGGATGAGAAACCTGATTGGTTGAGGACATAAAAGTGGGCGTGGCCTTCGGGTAAAAAGGGACAGGACCCACCTGAGAGGAGGATGATGAACTCCAAGGGTCCCAGTTTGTGGCCAAGAGTCAGGATTTGGGTCAAGGGTTGAGCTTTGGCCTCATCCCCATCTCCCCTTTTCCCCGCAGGGCTCCGGGAAGCCGTGACCCTGCTGGAGTGCGGGGGGGACCTCCAGCCCCCCGGGGGGTCCCTGCGCCTCCTCTGCCGAGGGTCCGGGTTCAGTTTTGGGAATTTTGCCATGGGCTGGATCCGCCAGAGACCCGGTCAGGGGCTGGAGCCAGTCGCCAGTATCAGCAATGGTGGCAGCACCTGGTACCCACCATCAGTCAAGGGCTGGTTCAGGATCTCCAGGGACAACGGGCAGAGCTCGGTGACGCTGACCATGAACAACCTCAAGGTCGAGGATTCCGCCACCTATTTCTGTGCCAAATCTTCTGGTCTTTGCACTGCTCTTACTGCTTTTTATTGGTGTTTGGGTTGGTGTTTGGGGTTTCAGCCCCGTCCCTGTCCCCAGCTGTCCCAAGACCCTTCCCCAAACCCCCTGACCCACCCCTGACCCTTTGTCCCAACCCCGCCCTCTTTGCCCCAACGCTGCCCATTGGCCCCAAACCCTGCCCTGGGTCTGGCCCCAAAGTCAACTCTGGGCCCCAAATCTCTCCCTCATGCCCCAAAGGTGCCCCAAGGGCCGAGATTTGGGGACAGAGGGTGAGGTTTGGGTCAGCGGCTGTGGCTGGGAGCCCAAAGTGGGGATTTGGGGCAGAATCGGGCGAGTTTTGGGGCCAAAGCAGGAGGGTTTGGGGCAGAACCAGTTTGTGGGTTTTGGGCCTTTGGTCACCATTGGTGGAAATGGGCAGATGTGGGCAAAAGGGTCAAGAATGAGGTCAAGGGCTGAGATTCGGGTAAAGGGTCTGAGATTTGGGGACAAGAGAGGCTCAGGCAAGGGCGCTGCCACCACCGGCAGGGTCAATGTAAGCAGCATCAGAAGCACCACCACTGTAAGCACATTTCCCACAGACATAGGATCCGAAATCCTCATCCTTGAGATTGTCCATGGTCAGCGTCACCGAGCTCTGCCCGTTGTCCCTGGAGATCCTGGACCGGCCCTTGACTGTATTCGCGTAGCAGATGCTGCCACCATTGCTGGTGATACTTGCGAGCCATTCCAGTGCATTCTTTGGTGTCTGTCGATACCAGCCCATCCCAAAACTGCCAAAATCGAACCTGGACCCTCGGCAGAGGAGGCGCAGGGAACCCCCGGGGGGCTGGAGTTGCCCCCCACACTCCAGCAGGGTCATGGCCGCTCCCTCATCCCCAAACCTTCACGGGTTTTTCCCCAAACTCCCTTTGTCTGGCCTCAAATCTCCAACAGAGATTTCCAGTATCATAAAGTCCCTTCAAATCTGCAATGAGCTCCAACCCACCCATTAATTAATTGGACACCTCTGCCTGACTTTTTCATCGCCTCATCCCCATCTCCACTTTGTCCTGCAGGGCTCCCGGCGGCCGTGACCCTGCTGGAGTGCGGAGGGGAACTCCAGCCCCCCAGGGGTTCCCTGCGCCTCCTCTGCCGAGGGTCCGGGTTCAGTTTTGGGAGTGTTGCCATGCAATGGCTCCAACAGAGACCCGCGCAGGGGCTGGAGTGGGTGGGGAGCATCAGGAGCGATGGTTCCGGCACCAACCTCGCGCCATCGTTCAAGAATCGCGTCAGGATCTCCAGGGACAACAGGCAGAGCTCGGTGACGCTGACCATGAACAACCTCAAGGACGAGGATTCCGCCGTTTATTTCTTTGCCAAAGAACCATGCACTGGTGGTTGGAATGCTGCTTCTGGTTGTCCTTTCAGCTCCGTCCCTGTCCCCATTCCCCAGACCCTTCCCTCCAAACCCTGACGAAATTCCTGACCCTTTGTCCCAACGCTGCCCTGCTCTGGCCCCAGGTCTCAGCTCTGGCCCCAAATCAGGGACGGTTTCACCCTGAGCTCGGCCTCGTCCCACAAATCCCAACCATTTTTTCAAACTGGACCCGTTCTGCCCCAAAATCTCAGCGGTGGAACTGAGTTAGAGCCACAGACCCAAATCTGGCCCGTTTTCCCCAAATCTTGACCTTTGCACCCAGGTTTGTGGACCTTGGTTGAGACTCGGTGCCCAGAGCTGAGGTTTGGGGCCAAGAGCTGAGATTGGGGCAGAACCAGCTCAGAGCTGGGACAGGGGGACAGGAATGGAGGAAGTGTCGGGGAAATGGGGACAGGGGCGGACCCAATGATGGGATCAGATGGATCAAGAAGAGCACCAGCACTGCAACAACTATTATCAATAAATTTGGCACAGAAATAGGATCCGGAATCGTCGTTCTTGAGGTTGTTCATGGTCAGCGTCACCGAGCTCTGCCCGTTGTCCCTGGAGATCGTAAACCGGCCCTTGACCGAATCCGCATAGCAGGCGCTGCCACTGCTGTAGTTCCCTGCGAGCCACTCCAGCCCCTGCCCGGGTCTGTGGCGCACCCAGTGCATGGAGACACTGCCAAAACTGAACCTGGACCCTCGGCAGAGGAGGCGCAGGGACCCCCCGGGGGGCTGGAGGTCCCCCCCAGACTCCAGTAGTGTCACGGCCGCCCGGAGCCCTGCGGGTCAAAGGGGAGATGGGGATGGGAAACCTGATTGGTCGAGGGACTCAAAGTGGGTTTGGTCCGTTGGAAAATGGGACGGGATCCACCAGGGAGGATCAGCAGGCCCGGGAGGAGGAGGATGATGAACTCCAAGGGTTCCAATTCTGGGCCAGGAGTCAGGATTTCGGTCAAGTGTTTAGCTTTGGCCTCATCCCCATCTCCCCTTTGTCCCGCAGGGCTCCGGGTGGCCGTGACCCTTCTGGAGTGTGGGGGGGACCTCCAGCCCCCCGGGGGGTCCCTGCGCCTCCTCTGCCGAGGGTCCGGGTTTTGTTTCCGGAGCTACGACATGAACTGGCTGGGCCAGAGACCCGGGCAGGGGCTGGAGTGGCTCGCGTGGATCAGGAACGATGGTGGCGACTCCGGCTACGCGGATTCAGTCAAGGGCCGAGTCATGATCTCCAGGGACAACGGGCAGAGCTCGATGACGCTGACCATGAACAACCTCAAGGACGAGGATTCCGGATCCTATTACTGCGCCAAATGTTACAGCAGTCTCTGTGGTTCAACTTATATTTATGCTGCTCTTATTGACAATGCCAGTGGTGGACCGACCCCAGCCATTGAAAACCCAAAAACATCCCAAAATTCCCAAACTTCTGCTGTTTGTGCCCCAGATCTCAGTGGGGTTCACTTGTGACCATTGGCCCCAAACTCAGTTGGTTCTGCCCCAAATCTCAGCTCCTGGACCCAAACCTCAGCTCTGGGCTCCAAGTCTCAACTGAGGTCTTTAAACCTGGGTGCAAATGGTCAAAATTTGGGGAAATGGACCAGATTTGGGTCCGGGGGGGCAACAATGGGGTCAAGGGCTGGAGGGAAGGACCTGGGGAACGGGGACAGGTGGGGATGCGGTGATGGGCACGGGTCAACAGATTCGAGGGCACCAGCAGCAATGTTAGTGCTGGAATCCTTGGCGCAGAAATAGGATCCGGAATCCTCGTCCTTGAGGTTGTTCATGGTCAGGGACATGGAGTGCTGCCCGTTGTCCCTGGAGATCGCGACCCGGCCCCGCAGTGACGGCGCGTAGTAGGTGCCACCGTGGCTGTCAATGGCGGCCACCCACTGCAGCCCCTGCCCGGGGCTCTGGCGGATCCAGTGCAGATCATAATGACCGAAACTGAACCCGGAGCCTCGGCAGAGGAGGCGCAGGGACCCCCCGGGGGGCTGGAGGTCCCCCCCGCACTCCAGCAGGGACACGGCCACCCGGAGCCCTGCGGGACAAAGGGGAGATGGGGATGAGAAACCTGATTGGTTCAGGGCCACAGAGTGGGCTTAGCCAGGTGGAAAAAGGTGCGGGACTCACCTGGGAGGAGGATGATGAACTCCAAGGGTCTCAATTTCAGGCCCAGAGTCAGGATTTGGGTCAAGGGTTGAGCTTTGGCCTCATCCCCATCTCCCCTTTGTCCCGCAGGTCTCCGGGCGGCCGTGACCCTGCTGGAGTGCGGGGGGGGCCTCCAGCCCCCCGGGGGGTCCCTGCGCCTCCTCTGCCGAGGGTCCGGGTTCACTTTCAGCAGTTTCACCATCTACTGGGTGCGTCAGAGACCCGAGCAGGGGCCTGAGTGGCTCGCAGGTATCAGCGGCAGTGGTTCCAACATCTACTACGCGCCGTCAGTCAAGGGCCGGGTCATGATCTCCTGGGACAACGGGCAGAGCTCGGTGACGCTGACCATGAACAACCTCAAGGACGAGGATTCCGCCACCTATTTCTGTGCCAAGGGTGCTGATAGTGCTGATAGTGGTTACCATAATCAGGCTGCTGCTTATCATTTGATCCTCTCCATGTCCCAATGTCCCCACCTGTCCCCGTTCCCCAGACCCTTCCCCAGTCCCCAGCCCCTGACCCAATTCCTGTCCCCGTGTCCCAGCCCTGAACAGGTTCTGCCCCAAATCTCCCCCATTCTCCCCCAAACTCCCAACTCTCGGCCCCACCCCTTCACCGTTGGTGCCAATTTTTTTGCCAGCCACTCAGGATTCGGTGCCCCCAGCGCGGGTTTGGGGCCAGGGGTGCAGATTTGGGGCTGCCCCAGAGGGATTTTCAGGGCGATGGTCACAAGGGAAGGGAGCGGAAATCTGGGGTGAAAGGCCGGGATTTGGGGGATGGTTCTGGGCAAACGGTCCCAGGGTGAGGGGAAGGGCGAGATTTGGGGGAAATGGGCAAAATTGGAAGGGTAAATAGAGAGTTGGGTCAGCAGGGGTGGAGTTTGGGTTAAAATGGTGAAGATTTGGGGAGAAAAGCTGGGAGTTAGAGGTAGGATCTGTGGGATTGGAGAAATTTGGCGACCATCATGGTCACCACCAGAAGTGATGGCAAAAAGAGCAGCACCATTACCACCAGCATAACCATTGTCACGTTTGGCACAGAAATAGGATCTGGAATCCTCGTCCTTGAGGTTGTTCATGGTCAGCGTCACCGAGCTCTGCCCGCTGTCCCTGGAGATCCTGAACCGGCCCTTGACGGATGACGCGTAGTTGGTGGTGCCACCATTGTCACTGATCCTCGCGAGCCACTCCAGCCTCTGCCCGGGTCTCTGGCAGACCCAGTGCATTCCAAAATTCTCAAAACTGAACCCGGTCCCTTGGCAGAGGAGGCGCAGGGACCCCACGGGGGGCTGGAGGTCCCCCCCGCACTCCAGCAGTGTCACGGCAACCCGGAGCCCTGCGGGAGAAAGGGGAGATGGGGATAACGGGATGCAAAAGTCAGGCAGAGGTGTCCAATTAATTAATTGGTGGATCATAACTAATTTCAGGCTTTGAGGCACTTTACCATTTAGGATATGTCTCTTAGATATTTAGGGCAAGAAAAAGGGATTTTTGGGCAAAACTGGTGACGGTTTGGGGATGGCCGAGCAGCCGTGACCCTGCTGGAGTGCAGGGGGCACCTCCAGCCCCCAGGTGGGTCCCTGCGCCTCCTCTGCCGAGGGTCCAGGTTCAGTTTCAGCAGTTCTGACATGCTCTGGGTGCGCCAGAGACCCAGGCAGGGGCTGGAATTCGTGGCAGGGATCAAGGACAACGGTGGCAGCATCGCCTACGCGCCATCAGTCAAGAGCTGGTTCACGATCTCCAGGGACAACGGGCAGAGCTCGATGACGCTGACCATGAACAACTTCAAGGACGAGGATTCCAGACCCTATTTCTGTGCCAAATGCACTGATGGTTGTTGTGCCAATAGTGATGGTACTGTTGGTGTGGCATTTATTGCTGGTTCTGGTCTTGTTCCAAAATCCCTCCACTTTGTTCCCAAATGCACCAGAGTCCTCTGATCTCCCCACCAAATCTCAGCCCTTTTCATCAAATCTCGGCCATTTTCCCCAAACTCCACCCCTGCTGTCCCAACTCACAACTTGCCCACAGTTTTGCCCATTTCACCCAAATCTCCCCCAGCTCCCGGGGTCCTCATTGGGCGGAGGCCAATTGGAAGTCATGGGTGACGGTTTGGGGCCAATGGTTGAGTTTTGGGGCAGGAGAAGGGGAGGGTTTGGGGTCAGTGCTGACCATTGGTGCAAATGAGGACAAAGGGTCAAGGGTTGAGGTTTTGGGGAAGGGTCTGGGTTTCAGGACAGGGGGGAATCCAAATGGGAGCAGGGCAAAAACCACCATGACCAATATCACCACAGTCAATATCCTCACCAGCAGCAGGAGCACAACAATCATCCCAATTTTTGGCACAGAAATAAACAGTGGAATCCTCGTCCTTGAGGTTGGTCATGGTCAGCGTCATCAGACTCTGTCCCTTGCCCCTAGCGATCATGAACCGACCCTGCTCTGAATCTCCATAGTGGGTGGTGCCAGCAGTGCTGATCTGTGCTACGAACTCCAAACCCTGCCCAGGCCTCTGGCGCATCCAGCCCATCCCAAACCTGCTGAACCTGAACCAGGACCCTCGGCAGAGGAGGCGCAGGGACCCCCCGGGGGGCTGGAGGTCCCCCCCGCACTCCAGCAGGGTCACGGCCACCCGGAGTGCTGCGGGACAAAGGGGAGATGGGGATGGGGCCATGCAAAAGTCACGCAGAGCTGTCCAATTAATTAATGGGAAGATTGGTGCTAATTGCAGGCTTTAAGGACCTTTACAATACTGGAAATCTCTGTTGGAGATTTGGAACTAAACTAGGGGAGTTTAGGGGAAAGCCGGTGAAGGTTTGGGGATGCGGGAGCGGACGTGACCCTGCTGGAGTCCTCGGGGGATCTTCAGCCCCCCGGGGGGTCCCTGCGCCTCCTCTGCCAAGGGTCCGGGTTTGATTTCAGCAGCCATGCCATGTATTGGGTCCGCCAGAGACCCGGGCAGGGGCTGGAACACATTGCAGATATCAGCAGGGATTCCAGAGCCTACTACGCGGATTCAGTCCAGGGCCGGTTCACGATCTCCAGGGACAACGGGCAGAGCTCGGTGACGCTGACCATGAACAACCTCAAGGACGAGGATTCCGGATCCTATTTCTGCACCAAATCTGCTTATGCTGCTGATGGTAGTTATGGTGCTGGTGGTATTGTCGTGCCCGGCGTAGCCCCCTCCCCGACCAGCATTGTTGGACCATGCGGGCGTAGGATGGTCAGGACAGACGGATGGACACGAGAGATCTCTGCAGCCAGGTTGTGGCATTTGGGGTTTATTGCAAAGGACGAACTGCAGGGCCCTGCTGGGAGCTGCCAGGCACAGCTGGAGCAGGGCTGAGAGAAGAGAGGTGAGAGAGGATGAGAGGGTGAGAGAGTAAGAGAGTAAAAAAGGTAAATGAGTAAAAGGGTGAGAGAATAAAAAGGGTAAGAGAGTGAAAAAGTCAGTGAATGAAATGGTAAGAGTGTAAAAGAGTAAGAACATAAAACTCTAAGAGAATAAAAGGGTAAGAGAGTGAGGTTCCCACCACAATACAATAAATCTTCTTCTCTACAGAATATTCTAATTATCACTAACCAATCTGGTCCAATATACAAACCCTACAGCATTTGCATACAGCCTATAAGAATCGTTTCATTACCATACTCTATTACATTTAAAACCCTAAAAACTCCTCTTTGGGCCCCTTCTGCCAAGCCTAAGACCTGCTCTTTGGAAACCCTAAAATCTCCTTTTTGGAGTAATTTTAGACCCTGAAAACTCCTCTTCGGACTAACTTTAAACGCTTAAATCTCCTTTTTGGAGTAACTTTAAACCCTAAAAACTCCTCTTTGGCCCCTTCTGCCAAGCTGTGGGGTCTGCTCTGACCCTTGGAGCTGTCTGCAAGCAGAAGGTGTTGTTCCATGAAAACAGGATCACCTTCAGCCGGCCACGCCGTTGTTTTCCAGTTGTTCAGTCACTGAGGGAGCTCAAAGCTTGCTTTAATTTCAATCTCGCTGATGGTTTCCATATTCTCAAAATCTTTTGCCAGGCAATCACATTGGTAACGCTTTCCTGTTCCATCCTCCCCAGTCAGCATCCGCATAAGCACCGTGACCATCGGTGTCCTTGGCACAGAAATAGGATCCGGAATCCTCGTCCTTGAGGTTGTTCATGGTCAGCGTCACCGAGCTCTGCCCGTTGTCCCTGGAGATCCTGAACCGGCCCTTGACAGAATCCACGTTCCTGGTGACGCCACCACTGCTGGTGATGGTTCCGACCCACTGCAGCCCCTGCCTGGGTCTCTGGCGGATCCAGACCATCCCAAAATTGCCGAAATCGAACCCGGACTCTCGGCAAAGGAGGCGCAGGGACCCCCCGGGGGGCTGGAGGTGCCCCCCGCACTCCAGCAGGGTCATGGCCGCTCCCCCATCCCAAAACCTTCACTGGTTTTGCCCCAGAATCCTTTTTCTTGCCTCAAATGTCCAGCAGAGGTTTCCTGTATGGAAAAGTTCCTCAAACCCTGCAATTAGCCCCAATCCACCCATTAATTAATTGGACAGCTCTGCCTGACGTTTGCATCGCCCCATCCCCATCTCTCATCTGTCCCGCAGGGCTCCGGGCGGCCGTGACCCTGCTGGAGTGCGGGGGGCACCTCCACCCCCCCGGGGGGTCCCTGCGCCTCCTGTGCCGAGGGTCCGGGTTCAATTTTGGGGGTTATGAAATAGAATGGCCGCGACAGAGGCCCGGGCAGGGGCTGGAGTGGGTCGTGGGAATCCGGTACGATGGTGATTACACCTTCTACACGCCCTCAGTCAAGGGCCGGTTCAGGATCTCCAGGGACAACGGCCAGAGCTCGGTGATGCTGACCATGAACAACCTCAAGGACGAGGATTCCGCCACCTATTTCTGTGCCAAACGTGCTTATGGTGACAATTGGGCTTATGGTGACAATTGGTCTTATGCTGATTCTTATCAGTTTGGCCCCGTCCCTGTGCCCTTGCTCCCCTCCTGTCCCCATTTCCCAGGTCCTTCCCACAAACCCCCAGCCCTGAACCCATTCCTCTCCCCGTGTCCCAACCCTGATAAGACCCAGATATCTGATTTGGGCTGATCCCCAAGCCATGCAGGCCAATCTGGATAATTCTGGGTGACAGAGTGCCCGAACAGCCAATCAGCTCAGAGATGCCACCATCTCAGCAAGCTCAGTGACTTCAGCTCTTTAGTGATTCTCAGCTCTCAGGATTTCAGCTCTTTTATTGATTATCAACTCTCTCAGGATTTCAGCTCTTACGTGATTATCAACTCTCTCAGGATTTCAGCTCTTTCGTGATTCTCAGCTCTCAGGATCTCAGCTCTTTGCTCACTCGCTGGGGCGCTTTTGGCTGGGTCAGAAACAGATGGACAGAGAGGACAAGGAGAGGTCCTGGCGGTTCCACAGCCATGGTTCATTGAGGGATATGTGAGGGGTTCCAGCAACAGCTCTTCTCCTGTCAGATGGGCTAAACCAGCCCCTTTTCTAGGGTAGAGGGGGATCCAAACGTGTCCAAAAGTGGGGGTCAGGAAGAAGTCACCAATGGGGACGAGGTCAAAGCTCAACCCTTGACCCAAATCCTGACTCTTGGGCCCAAATTGGGACCCTTGGCGTTCATCATCCTCCTCCCAGGTGGGTCCCGCCCCTTTTTCCAGCTGGCCACACCCACTTTAAGGCTCTTGCCCAATCAGGTTTCTCATCCCCATCTCCCCTTTGTTCCACAGGGCTCCGGGCGGCCGTGAACCTGCTGGAGTCGGGGGGGAACTCCAGCCCCCCGGGGGCTCCCTGCGCCTCCTCTGCCGAGGGTCCGGGTTCAGTTTCGACAGTGTCACCCTCTTCTGGATCCGACAGAGACCCGGGCAGGGGCTGGAGTACATTGGAGAGATCAACCCTAGTGGCAGCACCTGGTACGCTCCATCATTCAAGGGTCGGTTCAAGATCTCAAGGGACAACGGGCAGAGCTCGGTGACGCTAACCATGAACAACCTCAAGGACGCGGATTCCGGATCCTATTTCTGTGCCAAATATGCTTACATTGGTTATAGTTATGGTGCTGCTGCTTTTATTGACAATTCCGGCAGTGGTCCCACCCACCATGATGGTCACCAGATGTCGCCATTTCCAGTGAGTCTTCCTCCAGAGCCCAGCTTTTCTACACAAATGTTAAAGATTTTACCCCAAATTTTGCCCCTGCTGCCCAACTCTCAAATTTCCCCCAGTTTTGCCCATTTCACCCAAATCTACCCCAGCTCCTGGGCCCTGATTGCAGCAGGCCTGAACTGGAGCCCAGGGTGAAGGTTTGGGGCCAATGGTTGAGTTTTGGGGTAGGAGCAGGGGAGGGTTTGGGGTCAGTGCTGACCATTGGGGCAAATGGGGGAGATTTGGGAAAAAGGGTCAAGGGCTGAGGTTTAGGGGACAATTTGAAGGAAGAGTCTCAGTTTGGGGACAGGTGAGGACACAGAGATGGGGATGGATCCACCACGGCCATCGTCACTATAAGCAGCAGTACTACAACAACCACTATCAGCATGTTTGGCACAGAAATAGGATCCAGAATCCTCGTCCTTGAGGTTGTTCATGGTCAGCGTCACCCAGCTCTGCCCGTTGTCCCTGGAGATCCTGAATCGACCCTTTACCGATGGCGCATAGTACGTGCTGGAAACACGGCTGCTGATACTGGTGACCCATTCCAGCCCCGGCCCGGGTCTCTGGCGCATCCAGTTCATTCCAAAACTCCGGAAACTGAACCCGGACGCTCGGCAGAGGAGGCACAGGGACCTCCCGGGGTGCTGGAGGTCCCCCCCGCACTCCAGCAGGGTCACGGCCACCCGGAGCCCTGCAGGACAAAGGCCAGATGGGGATCAGGCCAAAGCTCAAACACTGACCCAAATCCTGACCCTTGGCCCCAAACTGGGACCCTGGGAGTTCATCCTCCTCCTCCCAGGTTGGTCTCGATACTTTATCAAGCTTGACCCTCCCAGTTTGGGGCTTTGGACCAATCAGGTTTCTCATCCCCATCTCCCCTTTGTCCCGCAGGGCTCCGGGCGGCCATGACCCTGCTGGAGTGCGGGGGGGACCTCCAGCCCCCCGGGGGGTCCCTGACTTTGCTGTGCCAAGGATCCGGGTTCAGTTATGGTCATTTTGCCCTACAATGGGTCCGCCAGAGACCCGGGCAGGGGCAGGAATTCGTCGCCTACCTCAGCAACACTGGTGGCACCATCTACTACCCGCCGTCAGTCCAGAGTCGGTTCAGGATGTCCAGGGACAATGGGCAGAGCTCGGTGACGCTGACCACGAACAACCTCAAGGACAAGGATTCCGCCACCTATATCTGTGCCAAAAGTTGGGATGGTTGTTGTGGTCCTGCTGCTGGTAAATTCATTGATTGTGATGATGTTGGTCACGGTG